TTAACCACGATTTTAAATCACACTGAGTTCATACATCACACTAAGTTCACAATCATACTAAGGCAAAATCAGATAAGCCACATTTTGGCTTGGCACCTACATGAGCCAGGGAGTTGCATGCAACCTTACTTACCAGGGAATAAATTTTGTTTTAAATAACACACTTTCACATCAATATGGATGGTCTTAACTGATTTAAAATTCATTTTTCTAGGAAACAGCCTCCCTTCTCCGTTTGTACTCCCTTTTTTCCCTGTTATAGACTGTTATAGATCACTTGTTCACAAATGTTTTCAGCATCAGGTTAAGCGTTTTTACATTCTGATCCTCTCCTCTGCATGCTTTCACTTGGGCATACTTCCAATACGTGCACATAGGACTGGAGCCTTAGAAGGGAAAATGAATTATGATGATGACACTGAACTATTCAAGAATACTTGGGAGAGCTATTAATGAAAAGCTGGTATTAGGTTTCCTCACCTTAATACAGGGTGGGGTAACATATAAAACATAGGGCACATAGTTCTAGTTCTTAGTCCCAATTCTAGTTCTTAGAGATGGAGTGGCTCGATTGTGAGACTCTTATTTGACTTTATTTTTTGAATTTGAGAGTCTGTGAACACAGTTCAAGATGTGAACCCTTGCAACCCTGAATAAACATAGAACCTCAAAAATGGCCAACTCTGCACAAGTTTCACCCTTGAAATCCCCCCACAGAAATAATGCAAAAGGAAAAGCTCCAAACTTTTCATCTGCATCCACTTTGATGATGTCACAACATGACCAGCTAGAGCAAGGCAGTAAAAGAAGGTGCAGGCCCTGGATTAAGAAAAGGTTGCTCACTCTTGATTTGATATATGAACAGTTTAAGTACAGTTAACAGTTAAGATACTTAAATGATTTTCTTAACTGTCTTTGTCCATGCAGTTAGTGACCAAGTGTGGAATAACAAAAGGCTGTTCCTTTTCATTTACATCTCAGGGCCTCTGCCTGTCCAGCTTTGAATCCAATTATGCATATTTCTGTGTAGCACAAGCCTTTTGCAGACATTTATAAATTACTTCTACTCAGTTCTTGGCTGCAGCTTTGTCAGTCTGAGAACAAGGGATCATAGCAATTCATTCAACAGACAAGTAGCTGTAATAACAAAAAATAAAACATTAATGTCCCAAGAATTATGCACTTTGAATAAACACTAAGGCCAATTTAGGAAAACTTAGAGATAGTACATAGAAATCATTTGCAAAATGTTGCTTTCTGATGTAGGACACATATCGTCCTTTTCTAATCTGATGCCCTTCAGCTATGTCGCGCCACAGTTTTTTCTTCCACTATTAGTGTCAGCCCTATAAGGTAGACCAGGCCAAGAAACCAATGCTATATAGGTCTAAAAATACTTGTACTGGAATGGCTATAGTAACAGAATCTTGCAAGTCTGAAAGTGCTTCTCCTTTTCTCTCTTTTATCTTCATGTGAATGGGAGAAGCGGCTGTCTGAGACATTTACTCCAATTAGTTTCTTGGAATGGGCTCAAGCTGCACTTGGCTGATTGTTGCCTTGGTAATGGCTCTTCCTTCTGTCCTTCAAGGCCATTCCCTCTACAACTAGTTCCTGGCTGTGAATAATGGAAGTTATAACCCAATGGGAGGGTATGGGTTGGGAAATCTGGCCTATTTATGCAATGTCCAGTATCAAGTTTTGCTCACAAACAGAAACCTCAAATTCATTTCTTTATTTTGCAGAAGTAACTAGACTGAATTATGTTATTCACATATAGGGAAAAGTAAAATATTGACGCACATATATACACGCACATACACACGCACACACGGACACTCATGATATATGGATCTGTGTTATTGATAAGCTAGGGATGTAATTTTTCTACTTTTGAAATTGAGACTGAGAGATGACTAAAGAAGGTATAATAGAAATAAATAGAAGATGGAGGCTTCTATTCTAAAATCTTGAAAACCTTTCAAAGAACAATAGCAAAGCATACATTCTATCAGTATATCTTATAAATGCAATCTATTTCCATAATTAAAAAATAATCCACACAAGTTCACTAATTATTGATGAATATAATTAAGACCAGTGGCTTTGGTGAATCTCCACACCGGGCTCCTGCCAAGCAACACGTAGGAAATTGACCTTGACAAACTAGTCTTGGCTTTCATTGATTTTGGATTTAACCCTACAGGTTTTTGCGGAAATTAAAGATTTCCCAGCTGCTCATAATAAGCAGGTTGAAAAAGTCAGGAAACATTAATCCCTCATTGAAACGTCTTTGTTCACACATACATCCTGTGCTACTGAAGATCTCAAAACAAGATCCTCCTAATGAGGTTTGAAATGGGAATTTTTAAACTACTGTAAGTTATTTTAGCTAAACAGGAAATGCCTTCTGTTCTGACCTTTGAGAAGATACCAAGCTATTTTGTAATGTACTCCTTTGAGTGTCTTCATGATTTTTCCTATCTTTTTATATAATGATACAGGGATTTTTTTCCCCAAATTATTACATTTTATGACTTTAAGCTCTCATTTGGATCTTTCCAGAGATTCCATGGGTGGCAAAAAAAATAAAAATAAAAATACACAAAATAATTCAAAGGCTAAAATCTATTACAAACTGCATATACACCAAGCAGTTATGTACAACGTTGGTTCAATTACCTTCTCCTCCTCCTTTGCAAAGGAACTGCTTTCTGGAGAAAGAGCTTTTCAGAAACAAAGCTACAAGTGCTAAACCTGCTAATTTTCTCCTGAAAACTGCAGCCTCTTGCAACAGCAGTTTTCCTGTGCTGTTTATGGTGTACTGCAGTAAAACAACACCATGCCTTACTAGAGGCAGATTTCAGGTTTTAGATAATCTCAACATTTTCCTTCTTTTTAACTGTTGAAAAAGCAAGTTTCTATTCCAGACTTGTAGCCATAATAATGTCTGGAACAAGTATTCAAAGCTAAAGACTGAGGGATTTGTATCTCAGCTTCCCTCCAACACACTCAAGGCTGCGTAGTGGCTTTTTTTTTTTTTTCCCATACACCCACTTCATAACCACTATGCTCCAACCCAGTTTTGGAGGATTATCTCCAAAACTGGTTTGAAGCCTGGTTTGGATGGAAAGCTACCATCCTATAGGCTAAATTGGGATTTCTGTAACCTGTAGCTTTCCACGTTAGACTACAACATTGGTCTTTCCTAGTCACCAGACCCAGCCAGCTACACCACACTCCTTGCATATTGTTTATATGGTTTTCAAGCTCATAAACATCAGCTTCCCAGCACAACTCCTTTTACATGTCCTGCTAATGATGATTTCCTGATGATTTCCAGGCCTTTAAGGATGGGAGGGTGGGGGAAATATCCAAGTGTATGTCTAGGGGAGAAAAAATCCAAGGAGAATGGTCTGATTTGCTGGAAATTAAGCACATCCAGTAATTGAGCCGTGTAGCCCTGTGGCTATCAAGTGTTTGTCCCTTCAAAACTTTGTAGAGGACAGTCAGTCACCAGGCACCTGCACACAGCCCATCCTAGGCCAGAAAGGACATTGTCAGCCACTGGGAGCTAAAGCAATCCCTTTCCAGCACAGACAACTTTCAAGGTGAACAGTCAGTCAGTCAAAGACAAATATGCAACTTATTTATTTATTCAATTTATATAGCTGCCCATCTCAGACCAGCAACTCTTAACAACAACAAGGCTCTCACTAATTTGTTTTTTTTATTTTATTACATCAATCTTTATTTTATTTATTCACTTACTGACTCCATATTTTATTGATTCATTTTCATTTATTCACTTGGGAGTAAGCCAAAAAGAAATGATTGGAATTGTTTTTTAAAAATGCATTAATAGAGAGCAATCCACAGTTAACGCCATCATTTGTGTTAACACCATGATAGTCAAAGTGTGTTACAGCAAATGCTGGAGAAAATTAAGACTAAGAATTGAATTCTGATTAATAAGGTAAGCAGGTATCCTACAAAATATCTTATGTGCAATACAGGACTTTACCCCAGGTAAACATGTAAAGGATTGTAACCTTCGATCCTTCCTGAGATTTTTCATTTCGAAAAATTCTGGAGCATCTCCATATATCCTCCCTTCACCGTTGTTTTTTTTGGGGGGGGAGTGGCATTTTTTTACCCAATGAGAAAATCCACAGGCCTCCTCAATTAAAGAAGAAGGAAAAAATACACGGATTGTATACATTCTTTCCCATGGACTTTCTCAAAACGTCTGTCGGGTCCCAGTTTCCCTAATAAAGCTTCTTACGTGCAGAGCTGCCCGACTACCGGAGCTCCTCCGACTATCCCTGGTTTAACAGAGCATTAAAGCCATTCTTTTTCCCTCCCGGAAGCCGTGGGAAAAGCGGAGCTCCCAATTTTATCAGGCCAGAGTTCCGCGCCCCCGCCCTTTCCCCTGCACTGGCTTCTCGCCCGCGAAAGCCTCTTCAAAGCAGAGTCGCCCCGAGTTGTGTTTATCCAGGAAGCGACGTTTGCTGGCAGGAGCGAATCGCCTCCCCCCCGGGCGCCCACCTCTCCCTCGGCTTTTCGACCGCGCGTAACGCCGCGAG